CACAATTAGGTGGTCAGAGTAACAGTGTGTTTGAGTTCGTAGTCAGATATCTTGAATTTAGTCACTTTGAGTTCCCTTCCCACTTCCTCTATGTCCACTAACATCAGATCCAAGGAGCATTTGTTTAAAATGCCTGAGTTGCACAGCATGTAATTCGATGATTACGGGAAAGACGTTCTGCCACCCCCACTCGGGAAAAACTTTTAACATCAGACATCGCATCACTTGCACTACTACACATGTAGTATACCGAATCACATGCCCATGTGGCTTTGTATATATTGAAAGAAAACCTTCTTTCCTATACTGTGGCTTGGCACCCGAGCATCATTAAAGGATCGTGGAGATAGATATATATATATGTGTGTGTGTGTGTGTGTATATATGTAATCTACTATGTATTATTGTATTATTGTATTGTAGAATACATCTTACCAGGAAAAGGGGAGAGAGAGCAAACTGTATATTTATATTGACACAGTGAATTTAAACTGCATGTCCCACATTTCTTATATGATTATCTGTAATGGGGCAGTGAGCCCCAAGATGGTTTGTAAAATAAGATATGCATGGAGATAAATCTAGTTTGCTTTGTGTATCATAAGTACAGTTATTATCTACACTATCTTTCTTTTCCTGATAGCAAAATATCTGTACAAGTAGGATTTAGGGATTTTTATAGTAATTGAGTTAAAGAAAACAGCAGAAGTGTATACATTATATATGTAATCTACTATGTATTATTGTATCATTGTATTGGAGAATACATCTTACCAGGAAAGTTATTTTAACATAAAACAGCTCCCAAGGAAGTGAATATATAATGTATCATATATAATATATATCTGTGCTTTGCAAACTGTTTTATTAGTACTCACCTTATTACACAGTTTCCTTTTTTCTGCAATTGGCTCTTCTTGTGGACACTTCCAGAGAACTTCTGCTGTTATTGCCCCTACTTGGGGACATTTCCAAAGAAGATTAGGGGGAAGCCTACTGATGACACCGGCATGCTCCCATGATGATGCTAGCACATCCTTGGCCTATATTCCTGCAGCAAAAGAGATAAATGCTTGCTGGAGGACCAGAGACAGGAAGCAGAGAATTGCATTTGGAAAGGTTCTTTTACTCTTCCTGGTGGTCAATTTGTGGCTTAAAATGTCTATGCCTCCGACATACAGGTCTGATGTCAAGGGCTGACTGACAGGTGGGGAAGGGTGCATGGAGCTACATGACAATGAACAGAAAGCATAACTTAATTTGTCTCATGTTGGAAAAGTTGACCAAGATGATCCAGGATGATATTGAAAGTATGTAGTATGTAGACGCAGGAGTTGGCAATGAAACTGTCCAGCCAATATTTAATTTGGCAAAAAACTAAACACTTTGTTCCAACAAACATTTATATGGGAATATCATGTTTTTTGTTTACTTTAAATCCTCAGGACTTGATAGGCATGCTAACACTGTGGTAGCAATGGATTCCCACCAGAAAATAGTGGACTCTATAGGCACCCAGACAACTTCATCTCATTGGAGTGTTCTGGGTGCAGTGTCCCTGTCCAACTTAGTCCTGCAATGTAAGTCATTGCAGTTTTTGAGAAACTGCAATGATTTGTTTGCAGCACTAAGACTTCCTCTAGTTGCTGTCTCTCAGATATCCACTAGGTGCGCTTCAGGGATTCTAAATACTCAGAGTCCCTTAAACAATGCTGGATGTTCTCACGCTCTGCATGAGGACATCCAGCATCAGTGAAAACACTTACAGGAAAGCACTGAAGCAATGCTTTCCTATGGGGAGGCCTAATGCGCCCTCCCACATTTCATGCTTTGCAGTGAACAAAATAAAGTTTTGAAGTAAACCAAAATGCTGAAATATTTGTTAGGTATATAAATTGCCTGTTCTGAAAAAATGAGCTGTATCACCAATGCACTGTGTCTGCAGGTTCAACTAGTTTCCATGGTAACTGCCATACTTTCAGTACTTTAGACCACTTTACAGAACATAACAAATATTTTTCATAACCTTTATTGTGTTAAGGTATCAAGACTTGAAGCAAGCAATCTAGAAAAATCAGTGGCTTGCCAGAGTGCTAATTTTTGGACAGTCAGATTTTCTTCATATGTCTGATTTTTAACCGTCTGACAATATGTCTGACAAATATAAAAACTACCTTCTGGTTTTTAAAGCCATTCTTTCAGATCACGAATATTCATTTGGAACACAAGTAGACTTTGAAAATAGTCCCAATTAGTTTAGTCTTTTTAAAATTCTAAATGTCATTTCACTATACTAAAATTTGTTTATATGATAAGCCAACTGACATTTTCAAGCTAAAATAATAATAATAATAATAATAAAAAAAGGAAATTCGTTTAAACCTAAACCTCCTTGTGTCCTAACGTCTAATAAAAACAGACTTTACAAGCATATGTTTTTCTTTATCAAGTGATATAAATTAAAAAACTATTTATTACATTAATTTACATCAGAACTGGTGCTGTGACATTTTTGATGAGTAAAACACGCCCTCTAGGGGACACCTATGAAAAAAGTTCTGATTCTAATTGGGATCGGTTTCAAGTGTTTACCTTGCAATTCCTGTTGTTTAATAGTACTTAAACTCTAAACCACTTCCCAAAACATAGAGCCAGATGTATTTTATTCTACAAATCTAAGAAAAAACAGGGGACAGTGCTAAACCTACAGAGGCTGGTCATTTTAGAAGACTTCATACAAAAGGGAAACATAAGAATGCAAATGTGGAAGATTGGAAGATGTTATCTTAGGAAAAGTAATGAAATACTATCATTTATAGCAATCTTTTGGATGATCCTGCTCTTTTCCTTTCTATGACAATTGGCTTTACATCTTTCTCCTTCTTTGACACGTTGTAAAGTATATGGATAAAACTAATATGTTCACAGTTATGATAATATGATAATGATGACACTATGTGGTGCACTGATTAAGTTTGGATGCATTTTTACTGCACAATGCTAGCTAAGACAGAAAATCGAATACCATCAGTGGTATTCAATCAAACCCAGATCTTTTGCAGTCTTAAGTTTGAAAAAAAAAAAGAGGTTGAGACTCAGTAACATTAGCCTTACATAGATCAGTAGCCAGTTGTCCTGCCAGTATGCTTTCTCACTTCATGCTGGGGGCCACTTACGTGCTACTTAACCTTCCAGGAGATTTTCTACAGCAAGGGGTAGGCAACCTTTGGCAATCCATATGTTGTGGACTACATCTCCCCTGCTGCTTTGCTGTGCATAAGAGCATTAAAAGAGTTGTAGTCCACAAATTCAGGAGTGCCGAAGGTTGCCTATCCCTGTTCTTTTGAGAAGCAGGCTAGAAATGGAGGTTATGCCTCTACGCTACAGTAATGCCGCTGGCTTGGCTGACACTCTGTGGGGAAAAGATCTGTGCCCCCTGCACTGTATTCTTCCTGCCTGATTCACCCAATGAAAACCGGAATGATTTAAGTATCTTCCATTTTCCACAACAGCATTCAAGTGTCAGTGAAACTCTTTATCGGATCCTTTGTGTTCCACCACCTCTTGATTGCAGATACTCACTAGAGGTCTGCTCCTATTTTAATGAATGAATGCTGTTATATCTTTCTGCCTTTATGCCTCACTGTCCATTAACAAGTCCATGCAGGGGACACAAAGTAATTCACTAAGACTTGGGGGAAAAAAAGTATATTTCACATAAGGAGTGAATTATCAATCTAACAGCATGTGGAGATTAGAGATGTGCTATTGAATTTAATAGATGCTTGTAAAATGGGAAAACTATTTGTTGATAATGGCTGATATACCGCATTTGAAGATTCTTTCATGGGTCTTTCGGTGCCAGTGATGTGCTTATTATAATCCTTCTGTTGCGGTCCCAAACTCATTTTATCATCTTTTTGCGACTATCCTTGTGTAGTGGGCCATCCTTCCTGCACCTTGCAAACTGTTGAGCATGTACAACCAACCAATGTTACACACTTTAACCTACCATCATATCTTATTTAAAAATGCACATTCTTTCTTGCCTTGTGTATGTGCCTTGTGAATGGCACAGACTGCAATCCAGTCATTTTACCTTGACGTGCCTCTTCCCATTCATATAAACTGTCTGATATGGAATTAATAGAATTAACAGGGTAAATCAATAAGGGATGACAGCTTTCAAACCGGAGTGCTGGTTTTGAAAGTGTCAAGAGCAGTGTGTTTAAAAACTCACTTGATTGGAATATCGTTTTGCTTCTTTATTAAACATTTTCACATTGAATACAGAGTATTTTCCTGCTCCAATTTATAAGTATACAGATTTTAGAGACAAACGACAGCATCAATTTGAAAAAAAACATTACATTGGGCTACCAGAATAGGTTGCCTAAGTTGCTTTTGTTTGTTTGGATTGTATTAAACGTGATATGATTACTATATACAAATATATTTAAAGTCCCAAGATTATTCTTGGAATTTTTTGTCAATCTTTCTTTTATTAAGGCATTTGATTTGATTTGTGCAGAATAAAGAAAAGGAGTTGAACGAGATGTACACAAGATAGGGATATCACAGCATGTTTTTACATGCTCCCAGATATGACTGCCCAATTTTTTTATTAATTAAGTAGGATATAAACACACTAATGCTTCAAGACTATGAACAGTTATGAAGTTTAAACATGAAAGAAAAAACGGTAATTAGGTATGTCTGTAATCAGACGATTTAGCTCTGTGAAGGTTACCACTAGTTGCAGAAATATATGTTAAAAGGCGCCCGCAGGCTACATCACATAAACTGGCCTGCTATATTCTGCTAGTGGCCGGTGAAGCCTTTGCTAAACAAAACATGTACATTTGAGCAGTGTAGATTGCTTACAGCGATCTCCCTATACTATGCCCCCTATATCTCTAGGTTTGGCCCGTAGAGTAAACAAATGCCATGGGCAGTGGGCCTCGCAGCCAGTCTGCATGTAAAATGAAGGTGAGAAGGAGCTGTCGCAACGGGATGCCAATCCGTTAGGTCGTGGGTGGGGTGCCCCACCCACCCCAATCATATCGGTGGGCTCGCAGAGCTCTACCAGGACGTCTGCTAGTGCCATGTCGGTGTGTAGCCTTCCACTCTACACTCCACCTCCTGTAGCTCTTGGACTTGTGTCGCCAGCGTACCATGCGTCTTCTGCCTGAGGCCTTGGTAGGAGCCCTTGCCACATGTCCATTGATCTCATCATCAGGATCGTGGGCCCAGGGTTCTCCTGGGATCCGGCTGTCCCCCTGGGTGTATGCGTGGCAGATGATATTCCTCCAGAAAAGAGCCTAGCTCAGAAGAAGCACGTGCGGCCCAGACCATTTGCGCAGCAGGGGTTACTGAGTGGTGTGAGTTTTGCATCTTTCCAATCCCTGGCTCAGCTGCAGGTCCAGTTATAGGGTTGTATTGTTTGCTTGGTGTTGTGGGCAGTCATTGCAGTGCTGCTCTGGATTCGATGCGAGACCAGAAAGCTGTACATAGCTCATCAAAGGCTATCTGGAAATTGGTTTGCCAGTCCATTGCAGTCTCCTTCTCAGCTGGTCTGGCCAATATGACTGTATCACGAGAGTGTGCTGCAGGTGCGTGGGCAATCTCAGCGCTGCTGCAGGTGCGTGTTTGCTTCGCCCCTAGTGGGGACCGGGATATCCCCCACGGTCCGGGGGGGGAGGGTAGCTGTTGTACACCCACGGTCCCAGGCTGGAGGATTGGCCATTTTCTCCCTCCGTAGGATCCGCCGGGTGAGTAGGCCGCAGGAACTGAGTATGTCCGCGGAGCAGCGCATATGGCTCCAAACTGTTTTCCGAGGGCACCCCAGCAGTTAGTGGCAGGTCGGTGCCCATTTGGGTGAGTTTAGGCGATATCACCTTGTTTTATAGCTGTGAACTTTGCAGGCTGTGTGAGGAGGTCATATCAAACGCGTATGTTGGCCAAGTTGGTTAGGAACATTCTTGGAATTTTTAGCAGTCATAGAACTTTATAGATGCTGAGGGCCCACCCTAGCATGGGAAATGTTTCCCTACATACAGAGAAGTTGGGATATGAAATGCACTGCCAAGTCTAGATGATTTAATGGAGTCAGCCAATAACTGAAAAAAGGTTTGATAACTTTCTATTAAATAGAAGTGTTCAGAGTTACAACGGAGTTAAAGCGACACCCAAAGCACCAAAACAACTTTAGTTTAGTGGAGCTGTTTTGGAATATAAATCTTGCATTGGCAGCCCCTTTGCTCAGTTCTGTGCCATTTAGGATTTAAATCACTTTTTGTTTCTGTTTAAGCAGCCCTGGGCAAGCCTCCCCTGGCTGTGACTCACACAGCTGCCATAAAAAGTGTTTCACTTTGAATCAGATTTTACAGCACATCAGTGTGTTTACCTTAGAAGTTCTTATCTTCTTTTTAATTGAACTTTAATACACAGGGGAGGCTGATGTAGGCTCTTTCTGGCAATTAGCAGAGCAGGGGATAAGAACATTTTAAATGAAACACACTGTGTAAAAGGGGATATGAAATGTTCAGTGATCCTGATAACCTAGTTTTATTTATTTTAATGCATTACCTACATAATACCTAAAATTGGGTCAGCTCCAACCTATGTACAGTCTCCATGAATCCAGTGTAATATTTCACTTTTTAAAGCACTGTTGCAATCCAATCTGTAACAGATCTGTACAGCTTTCCCCAATCCAGTGTTTCTTTTATTTCTCACTACAATTCACAATCTGACGACTCTATGCCCCTGTTCCTTCTACTTTTGCAGGTACCATTTACAGATCTTTTGGATGCTGCTAAGAGTGTGGTAAGAGCTTTATTTATCCGCCAGAAGTACATGAATCAGTCTATGCAGAGTTTCTGTCGTACCACTGCACAACACCTAAAGGAACTTAGCGAAAGGACTCCAGACAGCCCCCTAGAGGAGGAGAATGCTGACACCCCAGTTGCTGAAAGTAAGACAAACACTGAAGTGTATTGAGCTGTATCTCTATGGATGTGCAGCAATTGCTTTATATATTTTATGATTTATATTAAAGAAATAAAACTGGGCTTTCATTGATAGAATTATTTCTAGCACTCACTCTGTGTCTCTCCACAGATGCCCCTGTACACCCACCTTTCTCAGAGCATCACCCCTATGAAGTTTGTGACCCCAGCAAAATGCCGCAAGATTTGGGCTTTGGGTTGAAGATGGTTGATGGGGTAGTTCACGTGTACACAAAGCGTGAAATCACTGATGTGTGAGCATCCAATGTACAGCATTTGTGTCTGGCATCTGACTTCTCTAATTATCATAATCGTGTTTCTATGGGACTGAAAGTTTGTTATAGTGAAAAAATGTCTCTTTAGTCTTATTGACTAAAAGACATGCGCGTTATACTATCCCAGGGTATAATGACTATGCATTCTTATAGATCACCATAAAGAGACTGAGCATAGATACAAGTCTTTTAGTGCACAGAAATAATACACACATGCTAATTAGGGTCACTTATCCTGTCCATTATGCAAGTTATTGAATGAACAGCCCAAGCACCATAACCACTACAACTCTCATGGGGTGTTCCAGGTGCCACTCCACTGCAGGGTTTAGCTCAGGAGAGCTAATGGAAGCTTGTGCTTGGAAGCTTCTGGTCATTTGGCACTGTGGCCTCGGCTTATATATTAGAGCTCAGTCTCAACTCAACTCAAAAATAAATAGAACATGTTATATTCAGCACAGACAGGGAATATATGGAATTGTCATCACATGTCACCTCTTCGTATCTGTGCATGTGAGTTAATGTCTTGTTTTGTTCCATCTCACTGTTTCATTGCACTATATCTCTCTACAGGAGTACTGAACTGGATCTTCCATATCCAGACCTCCAGGAGTTTGTGGCTGATATGAACGTACTGATGGCTCTGATAATAAATGGTCCCATGTGAGTAGCATGGGAACTGTGACTTAATTTGGGGAGGAAATCATGTTGAAGAACGGACTGAGTTAGTTTAAGTTAGGGAGTAGTGCAATTAATCATAATCTATTTGTATTTTTCCATCTAATTATGACAATTGCCTTTCTTCATGTCTCTGCTCCCTGTAATTTATTCTCTCGTCTGCTTGTGCCATGTCCAACTTTTCCCCCATTATTTCACATCCATTTTGTCTTTACACCCTCCGTGTTGCCCTTTTGATCTTTTTCACTGCCCACATTAACTCTCATGTAGTAAGTCGTTCTGCTACCGCCGGCTGCAGTACCTGAGCTCTCGCTACCAGATGCATGTTCTCCTCAATGAGATGAAGGAGCTGGCAGCTCAGAAGAAAGTGCCTCACAGAGACTTTTACAATATTCGCAAGGTACATAATAAGCCTGTTTACTTATACTTGTGGCCTGATTACCAGTGTACCGTCTTTTTACCTCAGACCTCTCTGCTTTAGGTGGATACTCACATACATGCAGCATCCTGCATGAACCAGAAGCATCTGCTGCGCTTCATTAAGCGAGCCATGAAGAAGAATAGCGAGGAGATTGTGCATGTGGAAGGGGGCAAGGAACAGACATTGCGGCAGGTGTTCCAGAGCATGAACCTAAGTGCATACGACCTCAGCGTGGATACTTTGGACATGCATGCAGTAAGTTAGGGGACTTGGGAAAGAGTTCACCCAGCATAGAACACCAGTGCAGTGAGAACTCCTCATGAAATATGTTTTCTAAAGTTTCACTGAGCACTGTTTCTTCTGTTGGCTTAATGACAAAACATTTCACTTCTGAACCGACTTAACTTAGCTGGAACACTGCCTATGATTTTGTTTGTCTTTAGTTGGTGGCCTGTGCGAAACTTGATTTTTTATCAATAAAGAAAAGTGCAGTGGTAGAGGAAATTTGACATTGGAAAAGGCAGATGTGGTCCCTATATTCAAAAAGGGTTCAATAACTCTGCCTGGAAATTATAGACCTGTGAGCTTACTTTCTGTGACTGGGAAAGATTTGAATGGTTATTAAGGAATAATAATCAGGAATTTATTGGGAATTCATTAGCAGAAATCAGCATGGTTTTATAAATTATGTCAACATTATAGATCATGTCAAACTACCTTAAAGGGATACTCTAAGCACCAACTTTAGCTCAATGGAGCAGTTTTGGTGTATAACTCATGCCTCTGCAGTATCACTATTCAATTCTTTGCCATTTAGGAGATAAATCACTTTTGTTTCTGTTTATGCAGCCCAAATCACACCTCCTCTGCATGTGACTTACACAGCCAACATGAAAAAAATGTTTCATTTTCAATCAGCACAATGTGTTCACTTTAGAAGTGTGTATCTCCTGCTCTAGATGAAGCTCCTACATGCTCTAGCAGGCTTTTAACACAGCAGGAGCTATGAAATTCTAAATTAAACAAACTATGCAAGACAGGAAATTTAAACATTAGAGATCTCTTTACATGATATGTGTAGGGAGACTGCCACGGGCTCTAGCATGCTTTTATCAGAGCAGGAGCTAAGAAATGATAAATTACACAAACTGTGCAAGAGAGGAAGTTTAAACATTACATCTCTCTTTACTTAAATGGCAGATGAAATTTAATGTAGATAAATGTAAAACTATGCCCTTTGGGGTGAAGAATGCACAGGAATCTTAGTTAAAGTTAGTGTTAATAAATTAAGAAAAACAACACATGATTTAGAAATAGTTATAGACAACAAACTTGTCAATCAGCAGTTGCTAAGGCCGGTAAAGTATAAATATTGTTTTTTCCTCTTTATAAATCAATGGTAAGACCACACCTTTAATATGCAGTGCAATTATGGGCACTTGTTCTAAAGAAGGATATTATGGCACTAGAAAAAGTGCAGAGGTGGGCTACAAAATTAATAAGGGGAATGGAAGATTTTAGTTATAAAGAAAGGCTAACAAATGGCCATGCTCAAATTAGCTTACATTATAGGGAGAGTGGGTAAAACAGCACAAGAGGTAAAGAAGGGTAAGATGTAATAGAAAAGTATGTTGCTTGAGGTTTACACTTAGTTTATTAAGGTAACAATTGCTGGAGAGAAAGTTGACATGTGGGGAGGGAAAGCTGTTAAATAGTTAAATTAAATGCCTTCTTGTATAAGTGAGTTTTTGAAGGAATGGAGACTGGTTCAGTGTCTAATGTAGCAAGGAAGGGAATTCCATAGGAATGGTGCAGCCCTACAGAAGTGTTAAAGGTAATAGCCAGGTGAGAGTCAGAGATGCGAACAGAAGAAAGACATAGCTTTTCGGCAGAGCAGAAGGACCTTGATGGGACATTCTTTTGCATTATTGAGGATAGTTAGATAGGAAACATTCCTATATGTAACATTCCCATGAATGCTGTTGCTTTGTGAGATATAATTAATATTCATAAACACTAATATTTCCGTACATTTTTATGTTTGGCCCTTTGTAGGACAGAAACACATTCCATCGATTTGACAAGTTCAATGCCAAATACAATCCAATAGGAGAATCTGTCCTAAGAGAAATCTTCATCAAGACGGATAATAAAGTGTCTGGGAAATACTTCGCTCATATCATTAAGGTGACATCTGCCACTACTCAGAATTGTCTCATACAGGGGAATTAACATCCAATTGCATGGACCTTTAATTTAAATGTGATTGGAAGTAACAGCTGTTGCAGTACTGGAAATAAAATTGCAGTACCATTCTGTTTACAGAGTTGAAAGTCCTGTTGGAACTTTCACAGCTAAAATTGACGTCAACAAGGCCAGATGGGAGACATGCAGAGATTGGCAGAGCCAAAGTTGTGTTCACCCCATTATTTTTAGAACCACTATACCAATTACTTTTACTGCTTGTTGAATGAAAGCCTAAAAGAGAGACTGCCAGTACTACATTGCAAGAATACATTAATTGCCTATTGTGCAAAAATATCTTTCAGATCTTTCCCTTTTGTTTGCATGCTCCTATATGCGTGTTGTTTAGCAAATAATATTAATAAAGTGCACCTTAGCTTCACTTTTTTTTTTTTTTTTAACTCACCAAACTAGCTTGGATTGTAGCCAGCTGAAATCCAATGGCAACATTTAAGCTAAAACAGCGAAGCTGTGTCGGTAGCTGAAATTTTGTTTTTTTCCAGAATATTAATTTTAGCTTTTATTTTCCCATTTGCTTCCATTTGGAGTTTAACCTCCCTGGTGATCTGATTATGTCTGTATTTTTTAATGTTAAAGCGGGACATTGTTTTTACAATGTATAGTGTGTGTTTTTTTACACCAGGGTCTCGTAGGGACAAGATAAGTGATACTACAGTTTAATCCCAAGCATGGCTCGCGGTTACCGCTTTTGATACTAAAAAATTAACCCCGAGCCATGCTCGGGTTTATCGCCAGGGAGGTTAATGAATGAACCCTAAATTGTAAATTTGTACCCTAAAGATTTACATTTCCTTTACATACCAACGCAATGTTTTCAAAAGTGAATGAAAGGCGTTTATCTGTTAAAGAGCTTGAAACAAATAATATAAGCCAAAAGGACTCCCACAAACTTTCTCTGAGTCCTCCCCTTTCACATTTAACGCTGCTTTTAAATATACAGTAAATGAAAAAAAATGAGTGCTTGCCTGGCCCTATTCATGTTTTAAATGTGTATCCTGTTATGGCAGATCTGTTCTATTGAATCATCTTACAGATTAGAAATGAGAATAGAGCATGCATCTTAATAAGTTTATGCCCTTTGTTCCAAAAAGCAAAACCTTGGTTGTATTAGCCCTTGTTTTAGTTTGCCATATAAGGGGTTGTATGTCCATCTCTATTGACCCGGTTATCAATGCTTTTTGCCTTGTGTAGGAAGTGATGGCTGATCTGGAAGAAAGCAAGTATCAGAACGCCGAGCTGCGTCTCTCCATCTATGGGCGGTCTCGGAATGAGTGGGATGCATTGGCTTGTTGGGCAGTCAACCATAAAGTGCATTCTAACAATGTGCGATGGCTTGTGCAGATTCCCAGACTCTAGTGAGTATTTCTGTGGAATAGTATTTATTTTTTAACATTATATTAACAATACAGATAAATGCTATCTTCGTCCTCCCTTTATCCTGCTGTCTAAAACAGACTATCAGTGTAAGTAACAAATGGGCACATAAAAAATATAAGAGTAGTGAACTTCGACCCTGACTGAAGCCCTTATCAAGCTGAAAAAACATTGCCATTATACATGTGGTGTATTCGCAAACTATATAAATTATGTACGCATACACATATTAACGCTGGTCTGTCTACTTTAACAAATATTTATTCAGAGACAAAACAACAACATCATACAAATAATGACACACAATCTAACTAACGATACCAACAACAACCACAAATGAACTAACTAACAATAACAACTAAACCTTATGAAGTCATCAGATCACACTCACATTTCACCATGATAAAAATTAGCCCAGGTCTGCTCACGTGCCTGCTCAGTAGCACAGCCAAGAAGGAACAGAGAAGAAATGAGATAGGGGGAAGTGGTCATTTATTTACTGACTTGTAAAAGTATTGGATTACCTAATTACCATATCAAAGAGTAAAGCTTATCCCCCTGTAATAAAGGCATAAATGAGCTTGGTCACATGACCACTGGCCACCATATTAGTTTGATGACAGAATGTCACCACAGTACCCTAGGTATATCATGTTATCTAGCCATATATTTCTTGTGTGGCAGTTATTATGTACTTTTGGGTTCTTTACAGTGTGGGTGCTACTCTTTTCCAGGCAGCTGTTGCTTGCTAAAATGCAACATTATTAGAAAGTAGCAGCTCCATTTATTAAAGGGCCAGACTTAAAACTAATGTAAATATATACTCCACCACCAAGACTCATCACACACACAGAGAGAGAAAGGAAAGAGAAAAAAAAAAGTTCTTTATTTACAAGGTACATAATACATGCCAGAGAAAGATGGAGAAACCCCATGTAGGAATCAGCGAGAGAGAGTTTTTGTCATTTCACTTGAAATTGATCTATGTGTTATTATTTTTTTTCTGTAATATTTTTGTACTATTTTGTAAAAATGTAATGCTCACAAGGGCATGTAGTTCAAATATACTGCAGACGGCAGTAAACACACCGAGTTATGCCTTTATACTAATGCTCAAGCAACAGTCATATATATGAAAGTTCTAATCCCTCAAAGTTATTTGTACCTGTAAGTTTAATTTAACACTCTTTGTATATGCTGTTATTGAATGTACAGCGGACTGCGCTCTGACTGATTTGTGTTCGTCGTGTGATATCTCTTTAATGATGAGGCGACTATGTATGAAAACAAACCTTAATAAACACTCACGTTTGCAAAAAAAAAAAGAGAAAGTAGCAGCTGTTTAGTATCGGCATAATTTCTTAAATAGCATCAGTCGCTTACTGACTACCATTGTTGAAAATCAGTCACTGACTACTGACCACAAGTAGTGGTCAATGTCTACCAATATTCTTTATGGGAGCCACTAACCACTACTAAGCAACTGGTTTGCAACTGGTTTTCAACCCTGTGTCGATTCATTACGAGCTGCCGTTTATATTAAAAAATTTACCCCGGCCTTAGGCCTAATGGAAAAAAGTTTACAACAGCTAAATTCCACTATATCCTATAACTAAATATGTGTTAGTTATATGTCATTGAAACCCTATAGCACATATTAAACCGTATTAAAGAGCAGTAAAATAAATGGAAATGCCTGACATTTGGTGTAAAAAATTAAATTAGTCTTTCTATAATTAAAAATTGCATATGTCATTTAAATGAACAGTCCCCATTGCAAAAAATGCATCTAAAAAGCTCCATAGCTATATATCTGGCGTAGCTCAATATCACAGTTCAATACATTGCATACACTGTCGCTGTCTCCTGCTTAGGCTAATCAAAGAGTGAAGTGCACACTCTCATTGCGAGCCTTTTTTTTTTACCGTCATGGTAATCATTTACCGTCGTAATTACTATGGTGACAATTTACACATCATATGTTCCTATGTTTTACCGGCGCACCAAGTGGCTAGTCAGCGAGTGTTTGAAATCTTTGTAAGCAGAAATTATTGTCGGTCAGCAAATAAAAAGTAGCAAGAAGGTTGAAAACCTGTCAGTAAATAGCAGCCACTACTAAATACTGTTAACTGATGTGGTTAAGTAGGAACAGCAGCTTGTGATTGGCAAGATTGAAAATGGATTTGGCTGCTCTGACCATGATGCACCAGTTTCCTGCGTGGGGTGCTCTATCGTTTATTTTAAATAAGTACATTGTATCTTTCAGTAGGGTGCTTAATGAAGCAGTTTTGGTGTATAGAACATGCCCCTGCAGCCTCACTGCTCAATCCTCTGCCATTTAGGAGTTAAATCCCTTTGTTTATGAACCCTAGTCACACCTCCCTGCATGTGACTTGCACAACCTTCCATAAACACTTCCTGTAAAGAGAGCCCTATTTAGGCTTTCTTTATTGCAAGTTCTGTTTAATTAAGATTTTCTTATCCCCTGCTATGTTAATAGCTTGCTAGACCCTGCAAGAGCCTCCTATATGTGATTAAAGTTCAATTTAGAGATTGAGATACAATTATTTAAGGTAAATTAGATCTGTTTGAAAGTGAAACCAGTTTTTTTTTAATGCAGGCTCTGTCAATCATAGCCAGGGGAGGTGTGGCTAGGGCTGCATAAACAGAAACAAAGTGATTTAACTCCTAAATGGCAGTGAATTGAGCAGTGAAATTGCAGGGGAATGATCTATACACGAAAACTGCTTTATTTAGCTAAAGTAATTTAGGTGACTATAGTGTTCCTTTAAATTTAATGGGGTTTCTGCAATCGGATAGATTAGCATATAATAGCAATATTTTTATTACTCTGCTGTTTTTGTCTCCATCAGTGATGTGTTTCGTTGCAAGAAGCAAATCAATCATTTTCAGGAAATACTACAAAATATTTTCCTTCCTCTGTTTGAAGCAACTGTGAACCCAGCAAGTCATCCTGAATTGCACCTCTTTCTGGAACATGTGAGTACTGAAATGCAATCCTGAATTCATTTGCCTTGTTGAGCCAGGGGTGGATTAAATATAGATAGCTAAAACAAGCAAATACAAGTCTAAATGTTGTGCCTAGCGTCTGGTCCATGTTTGATAGTGAGTTCATTCATCTTGTTTATAATAATGATAGTAAAGTAAGATAAAAGTGATTAGATTTTTGGAATAACTTTGTTGTGTTTTGTGTGTAGATTCTCATCTCAGTTGCTTATTGGTAAAATATTCCTCTGTCGCCCCCAGGTGGATGGGTTTGATAGTGTAGATGATGAATCAAAGCCAGAACAACATATCTTCAATATGGAAAGTCCACTGCCTGAGAACTGGAAGGAAGAGGATAACCCCCCGTATTCATATTACCTATACTATATGTATGCCAACATGACTGTGCTCAACCATCTACGAAGGTATACATTTATCTATGCTAATATCTATCTATTATTATGGTTATTATTATAGAAACATAGAAACATAGAATGTGACGGCAGATAAGAACCATTCGGCCCATCTAGTCTGCCCAATTTTCTAAATACTTTAATTAGTCCCTAGCCTTATCTTATAGTTAGGATAGCCTTATGCCTATCCCACACATGCTTAAACTCCTTTATTGTGTTAACCTCTACCACTTGAGCTGGAAGGCTATTCCATGCATCCACTACCCTCTCAGTAAAGTAATACTTCCTGATATTATTTTTAAACCTTTGTCCCTCTAATTTAAGACTGTGTCCTCTTGTTGTGGTAGTTTATATAGCGCCAACAGATTTTGTAGCGCTTTACAATATTATGAGATGGGGTATTTAACTATAAATAGGACAATTACAAGAAAACTTACAGGAACGATAGGTTTTTACCCTGCTCAAACAAGCTTACAGTCTATTGGAGGTGGAGTGTAAAACACATTAGGACAGGAAATAGCAATCAAAATAGGTGGGAGTGAAGCAGAGCTGGAGGAAAGAGTCAATTGCTGCCTTTTACGAGAGAGCAAGAGACAGGTATGTAAGGTAGAGGTTACTCTGGGAGGCCATAAGCTTTCCTAAAGAGATGCATTTTAAGGCACTTCTGATGGCGGTAAGCAGGCTATTCCATAGGAAAAGAGCCGCCCGCGAGAAGTCCTGCAAGGGTGAGTTGGCCGTACGAGTGCGAGCAGCAGACAGGAGAAGTTCACGGGCAGAGTGGAGAGACCGAGAAGGAGCATACGTATGGATCTGTGATGAGATAAAAGTGGGGCTAGAATTGTTCAGTGCTTTATAGGTTTTTGATTAGCACTTTGAATTGACTCCTATAGAATACAGGAAGCCAATGTAAGGACTGACAGAGGGGTGAGGTGTGAGAGCACTGACTAGACAGGAAAATCAGTCTGGCGGCAGCATTCATTACAGACTGTAGCTGGGCAATACGGCTTTTGGGAAGACCAATTAGGAGAGGGTTACAATAATTCATGCGGGAAATTACTAGAGCATGGACAAGCTCCTTGGTAGCATCTTGCGTAAGAAAGGAGTAGACACAGGCTATGTTTTTAAGATCGAATTTACAGGATTTGGCAACATACTGAATGCGAGGCACAAAGGTGAGGCCAGAATCAAGTAAGATGTCTATCTATCTGTCTATCTATTTTTGTAGCATATAATAAATAAGTTTAAATAGGAAATATTTCTGTGTGTGTGAGAGCCTCCCGTTAAAATATGTATGTAAACTTGGCTGTTAATGATAAGAGCTATAGACCACTAAGTCTAAATTCTGCTTAACATAAAGCCTCCTCTTATACTAAAACCTCTACCCTAATCTTAACCTTAGCATTATCATTTGCTGTAAAGACATGGCACTTTTACTAGTACAACACCATTTCAGAGTTATTAAAACAACAGTATTTAAAAAACAGCTGCTTCATGTGTATTGCTTATTGCTTACATACCGATCTTAATTTGCTGCTACAAATTTAGACCTTGCAGAATATCTTCATATGTATGAATAAGCAAACAGACAGCAGTTTAACCTTCTATATATTTATCGTACTCACCTCAGGAGTTTACTGATTACTAAATGTTCCTAGCAATGTTTACATACCGCAAAAAAAACTATCTAGTATATAAAATGAGAAGTAAGAAAATGTACATAGAAAGTGTATGCTGGTTTTAGAGTAAACTCATGCATTTATTTCAGCTAGTTTATCCTCCTTTTGTCATATTCTCATATTCACAGGCAGCGTGGATTTCACACTTTTGTATTGCGCCCACATTGTGGTGAAGCAGGGCCTGTTCATCACTTGGTTACTGGATTCATGCTGTCACAGAATATCTCCCACGGACTCCTGCTACGCAAGGTGACACTGTCCCCACTGTTAACCCATAGACTATGAAAGAGCATACTAACATACTAAGATCCACGCTGAATGTCCCTGGCACTGCAAAATGATACCTAGATATCTTTAGTCTTGAACATATGTATATTTTTTAGAAGCACATTCCAATTCTTCCTTTCTCCTCTGTGACATTACACACTGATCAGTCTATTCCTCCTGATATTATATTTCTATTGCTTAACAGGCTATGGATGATATAACTATAAAGCAAGACAAAATGAGAATATTTTTACTGTGTTTGGAAGCCTAGTCTCATTCAAATTCTAAGTACGTCACTGTATCCTCACGAATGTCTGTAGTAAATCCCCCATTCTACTGCTGCCTTTTATACTATTTCTACTATTATTATTTTAGTTTAGTGGAGTGTCCTTTGAAGGCCAAAGTAGCTGAACTGGAACCACAGCTGATCTATACAATGTTTCAAGTTCAGCTAATTTGGCCTTGAATTTAAAACTCATTTTTAATACACTTTGAATTCTTGACACTTCTCACTTTAGTAAGTATCAATGCCTGTATCTGTGTTTGAAACATCTTTATTTTTATCCACACAGACATGGCAGGCTTAGTTAGAATCTTACATTTTCTTTCTACTCACTTTAGCCATACTGTCAATCTTGTTTTTACAGAACACCACAGAGTCTCATGTATTCCTTTCTGTGTTTTTTTTACAGGCTCCGGTGTTACAGTACCTTTACTACTTGGCACAGATTGGCATTGCTATGTCTCCACTCAGTAACAATAGTCTGTTCCTTAGTTATCACCGGAATCCACTGCCAGATTTCCTGTCTCGAGGTCTCATTGTGTCCCTATCAACAGATGATCCGCTGCAATTTCACTTTACAAAGGTGCCTTAAGGAGAGGGTTCTCCAATGATTTACAGTTTGGTGTAGGGAAAACAGAATGCATGCTTTATAATATCTAAAACTGTAGTTTGTAAATTCCTGTGTCAATATAATGGTCTGTAGGTAAACTGCATTCTCTTCTGCAGGAGCCGTTGATGGAAGAATACAGCATTGCTACCCAAGTCTGGAAGCTGAGCTCATGTGACATGTGTGAACTCGCAAGGAACAGCGTTTTAATGAGTGGTTTCCCACACAAGGTAACGTTCAGACACTAACTGCCGACATGCACACCACCTTGCACTCAAACTGGTCTAGAAACAAACAAACAAAGTATATGTAAGCGGGAGTTTTACTAGATAATCTTATTTCATCATGATTAAGGTGCTGCGCTGGCATTTCTTATTTGAGAATGGTTTTTATTTCCGTTTTTTCACACACAAACCACAGGCAGAGTTATCCACTAAACTTTGAATGGTGAGGAATTCAAAGTGAATTTAAAAAGCCAGGCTAAAATAGTCAAAGTGAAAGCATAACTGACTGACATTTCTTACAGTTTGATTACGTTCACCTAAGATGTAAAAATTCACTCCCAGATTCGAATAAGGTAACAGTGTTACAAAAGAGGGTAAAAAAAATCATGAAAACAGACAGTGTATTGAAACAGAAGAGTGTGAGATGATACATTCCCTTCTTCCCATTTAATTCAATAGCCTGACATTCAACTCATTGTTACAGGGTTGTCTGTAGCTCTAATCCCTGGTGACACTCTGAACTTTTGTTAAATTGCTGGTGGATGGTTAGGGCATACTGGCACAGCACCAGAGTAATGAAATCCTGGGTGTCTCCTAGTGCTGCATTTTGGCATTTATGTATGTACCAGAATATTTCACTCTGGTAAAATGGCTGTTTACCAGCCATTGTATTGTAGGTTCTGGAAGCTTTCACCTGGGTTGTCGTCAAAACGCTTATGAAAACATGTGTACCTGGAATTGTCTCGGAGCAGAAATGGTACACACTATAGAAGAGTTCAAGAATAATTAAGATTATTAGGATAGGAAATAGGAAAATGTGTTATTTCATTCCATGTTTCTGTCAGATTACCATTTTATGCCATAATAGACACTTTCATTAACATTAAAGGACCACTCTAGGCACCCAGACCACTTCAGCTTAATGAAGTGGTCTGGGTGCCAGGTCCTTCTAGGGTTAACCCATTTTTTCATAAACATAGCAGTTTCAGAGAAACTGCTATGTTTGTGAATGGGTTAAGCCTTCCCCTATTTCCTCTAGTGGCTGTCTCATTGACAGCCACTAGAGGCGCTTGCGTGCTTCTCACTGTGATTTTCACAGTGAGAGCACGCCAGCGTCCATAGGAAAGCATTATGAATGCGTACCTATGTGACCGGCTGAATGCGTGCGCAGCTCTTGCCGCACGTGCGCATTCAGCCGACGGGGAGGAGGAGAGCTCCCCGCCCAGCGCTGGAAAAAGGTAAGTGTTTAACCCCTTCCCCCTTTCCAGAGCCGGGCGGGAGGGGGTCCCTGAGGGTGGGGGCACCCTCCGGGCACTATAGTGCCAGGAAAGGCACTATAGTGGTCCTTTAAAGGGACACTACAGGCACCAAATCAACTTTAGCTTTGTGAAGCAGTTTTTGCATATAAATCATGCCACTGTAGTCTCACCCCTCGATTCTCTGTCATTTACAAGTTAAATCACTTTTGTTTCTGTTTATACAGCCCTAGCTACACCTCTCTTGGCAGTGACTCACAGTCTGCATGAAAAAAAATTGGTTTAATTTTGAATTAGATATTAACTTGCTTTACAAGTTTTTATCTACTGCTCTGTAAATTTAACTTTAATCACACACAGGAGGCTTCTGCAGAGATAAGACAATCTAAATTAAACAGAATACACAATAAAAAAAGTTTAAACTTTAGATGATTCTTTACAGGAAGTGGTAGGAAGGCTCTGCAAGTCACTTGCAGGGAGGTGTGACTGGCTGTATAAATAAAGGGATTTCATTTCTAATTTGCAGGGAATTAGCAGTGAGCATACATGGGCATGATTTATACACTGAAACTGCTTAATTAAGCTAAAGTTGAATTGGTGCCTATAGTGTCCCTTTTTAACAGTTTGTAGCTAAAAACGAATTGGTTTCCACCTCATTCATTAATGTAAAATGCCTAACTAGCCATTTTCTTCTGTGTAGGTAAAAAGTTACTGGCTGGGTCCAAATTACCTATGTGAAGGTCCGGAAGGAAATGACATCCGCAGAACCAATGTTCCTGACATACGAGTTGGCTTTCGATATGAAACTTTGTGTGAAGAACTGATGCTCATCACCCAGGCCCTGCAGAGCGATGAACTGGAGCCCATCCCTGAAGAGATCCTGTGCATGCGTGGAGGATCACGTGGAAACATAACAAAAGAGGAGACCTCTACTTTGGAGAATGAGAAGAGCAGACCTTGATCATAGAAAGAGTGGCGGAAGAGGGATGGAAGGTGTAGGAGAAGGAGGTGACCCTGAGCACTGTTGGAAAGCAAGAAACTCTGAGAAGGGGGTAGCAGTACTAGGGTAAAGACTTTAAACGTATACGGGCATTTTAGGTAAAACAAAACAAAAACAAAAGTTTGAGATATAAAAGAAAGTCCTAATCCAAGAAAACAGATACATTAATAATGGACAAGATAAATTGTATTTCTGTGGTAAAAGGGTGTGAGATGACCACATAAAAAATGGAAGGGGGTTACTTAAAACTGGACACTTTACATTATTGAAGCAACAGGAAAATTCTCGATGACAACACAAACATTCAATATTAAATGTTGGATAATATAAATGTGACAAAAGGTTATGTGGTCATGGAGGGGACACGGATAAGATGAATTAGAAGAATTAGCAAGGAACCTTTAAAGGGATTTTATCACCTCACTATCAGCAATGTTTCATGTGGAATGGTAACATTTTATCACTTCACTATTAGCAATGTTAAATGTGATATGGTAAACAACTCACCATGGCTTCCTCAGGTATCACGATACCTACAGGATCATAATACACTCTAAAAAGGCTCCTTTATATGTAGCCTTTACTTGAGTGTTCTAGCAGAGATGGGTGTCACTGTGTGAATATGACAGCCCCCCATTGCTCCTTGTGAACATCTGTGCATACTGTTCTATGTAGAATTCTGTGTATCTTCAAGGAAAGGCAGTAGATCAGTAAAGGGAGAAGTAAGTATATGGCTGTTATGAACAGTACAGCATGCCACAGTTGTTCACAGAAACAATCACCATTTTTATCTAAATCACTGTAGTTGATGATTTTATATAATATATCAGTGTTCTTTCTTGAAGATGTCCCTTTAGGAGGAGTGATGTGGCATTAGTACTGAGATGTGACCCTGATCTAGTGTAGGATTGTCACTGCAACCTTAAAACCTGTAATGTCACTGCACTGCATGTAGATAGAATGAACATATTACCCATTATTTTTTTCCTAGAGTGAAATGCCTTGTAGTCTCTTGTTGCCCTCCATTCAAAGGCAAAGGTATCCTAATCAGACATATCTGCATGAATAAGATGCACTATGGGTTGTATAGCAATGCCAACCATCAGGGGAATGTTTTGGAATCAAATACATGCCAGTACGTGTCTGTGAACCATCACCATGTCCTGCAGACTGATAGTTCGTTTACTGAGCCCATCACATTAGGACGGATTCTGGTAAACTTAACCTAAAAACATAAGCAGATCAGGCTCATTTTCAAAAAAAAGGTTTCTGTTTAATTCAGACACAAATATAAAAGGAGTGTGGATACTGACTATAATGTGATGGTATAGAGAATGAATCATATGGACTATTGTTAAATAATTAATTGTTAGGGCTCATTGGTACACAGGGTGTGCAAGAATGGAGACTACTATACAGATAGATGGGTTATGGTAAAATGGTACAAAGTCTTTGCTGAGAAGAACATATCTCTAGTTTCTACGTGTTTTGTTTGCTGTGGTTTTGGTTTACTTGTTTGCAATTTGATTTCCTGTTGTTTTCTTTATGTCTATATTCAGTATGTGTGTCAAAAAAAAAAAAAGAATGACTTGTGTTTAAAAATTGGGGGCTGCCATTGGCACTGTACTGGAGCTAATATTCTGGTAAGCACATGTTTTGTGATACCATGCAGATGTAGATATATTTAGTTTCATAATTTTGCATGCTGTCACTGTCTTTGTTTAACTGGCTTTGTCTTTATCCAATTTCCATGAGTATCCTCTTTCAGAAGTGCTGCTACATGTGACATGCCAGATCACTGATGTGCATGACAATAAATATATAAATATATTTCAATAAAACCTTGGATCCAGCTTGTTGAGCCTTGTAATAGTGAGTTATAGATGCAGATGTTTTGCTTATTATGACATGTTCTGCGTTTTTTTATCCTCAATTTATTACAATGTTTTAAAAGTCGTTTTGAAAGCACCGTCTCTTTATTTTTCTGTATATTCTGAAATTATTTATGTAACAGTTGTGTTATTGATCATAATGCCTGGAAAATTTCCCTAAAAGGCACAAATTATTCAGCAACACTTCAATAAATCTCCCCTTTATTTCACTGTAAATTCTGCAATCCCTTCAGCATGTTGAGCTGGTTCAGGTAAGTCAAGCAGATTTAGTGCCATATTATTATTATTATTATTATTTATATAGCGCCAGCAAAATGTGCCGTACAATGGGTGGACTAACAGACACGTAACTGTAACCCGATAAATGGACGCACAGGAACAGAGGGGCTGTGGACCCTGCTCAATTAACTTACATGCTAGAGGGAGTGGGGTATAGTGACACGAAGGCTTTAAGTAGGGGTAATAAAATATTGCTAGAAAAGTATTCACTGGGAACTTAGTAGGTTATTTTTGACAGTTGCAGGAGGAGTCATGGTGGGGGAGGGAATAAAAATCTGCTAACAGTTTAAAAGATTTTTTGAAGAAGTGGAGACTGTTTGAAAGTCTAACGGAGATGGGAAGGGAGTTCCACAGAAAAGGTGCAGCCTAGGAGAAGTCTTGGAGGCGAGCATCAGATGTGGCAGTATGGACAGAGGATAGACGTAGGTCTTCGGCAGAGCGCAGGCAGGGCCGGACTGGCCCACCGGGATACCGGGAAATTTCCCGGTGGGCCGCGGCACCTGGGGGCCGGCCGCGTTCCTGGGCCGGCCCTTTAAATACTGCAGCCGCCCGAGCGCTCTGTTAAGAGCCTCGGGCGGCTGCGGCTGCAGCTGCTCCTCTCCTCCCCTCCCCTGTAGCGTGGCCGAGCTGGTCCGCGGTGCCCGGCCGGACTGATAGGAAGGCGCACGCTGAGTGTGCACTTCCTGTCAGTCCGGCCGGTTACAGGAAACAGAAACTCCAGTTCCGCGCAGAGTTTCTGTTTCCTGTAACTGGCCGGACTGACAGGAAGTGCAC